CAAATAACAAAAGCTCCGAAGTTCAGGCTTTTTACTAAATTGGGTGATAATTTACCAGTTTCCCCAAGAAAAAAGGGAAGAAATAAAACAAAGACCGAAAGATAACAAGCCAAAGATATACGAAGCGAAACGAAAGACAAAAAAGATACAGCAACAGTAAAAACTGAACGTAAGGAGAGCGTTGACTTCCAAAGGAAGTGTCTCCTAAAGGGGAAAAAATGTAAAAGGAAAATTAAAATAAGCCAGCATTCAAAAGTTAAGAATTCAGCCTAACGTGAAAATTCAAACAAGAACAATTTATTACCACCACGCCATGTATTTCCACTTTTGTTTTCCCATTCCACCTTTTTTTTTAACATAACATTAAAAAGCCCGAGAACCTCGAAGTCAACCGAGTGTAGTTTTGAGAGTGTTGATGTATTGTTGTCTGCTTATCAAACTTTTTCGGACAAAATTTGCTATAATTGAGCCAACCTAGGTGCATACGTCATACTATTTCCTTTGCTTGACCAGTTGAGTCACGCGTTGGACTGAAAGGATGCTAAGTATAACATTATAACTTGGACATAGGACAAAAGATGTTTAATTATTAAATGCTTACTAGCGTTTCTTTCGCATCCAGTTTAATCTCTTTTGGCCCAAAACTGGGAAATAGAAAACTGAACATTGAGATATAATAATCACGACACAGGAAAAAAGTTTCATTAAATAAAGCAGTAAATGCTTGTCAACATTTCAGGTATCAAATTCAATCAGTTAACAAAAGAAAGTCACAATTGTCTTGTGGTTGCTTTCGCTCCTATCCTTATAGCTAAACCACGTATGCTCGGAAACTCTACTAGGGAAGTGATTTTTTTTTTCTCATATTTACCCCTCGCTTCACCCTGCCTTAGATTAATGGGTATCTAGGTTGGTCTCTCTTTTTGTTTTAAGAATATTCCTGCTCGCGTTTCCTTTAAAAAATATGTATATATGTTTAATATTAAAGGCTTGTGCTGTCTGAAACCTAAAATTGGCTTGCTTCCTTCAATTAATGGAACTGCTTTGAAAATTTCAGCCTCGCTGTGTCACGCCCCCTAACTGACAGGTAACCGAAGAATGCTTTTAAAAGCAAACCACAAAACTGAGATAAAAACATTGTGGGTTAATCAACACGAAAATTAAAAACAAACACACGTTATGTGATCATACAAATACTTAATATATTCCAAAAACCTTTAAAAATCTGTAGCTTCCAAAATATGTCATCAAGTGCTTGAAAATTTACAGTCATATTTTCGATTCTGAGAGCGACAATTACTAAGTAACTTCAAAACGAATACTACTGGAAACTGAAATCATCAGTCTCTTAATATTTACAGTCTCTTAATATGTACAGATGTCAACTGTGGATGATTGCGGTGATTGACTGCGGTTTGGTGTACGTCTACTAATTTTTAACTTCAAATTCTAATTTTGAAACAACATCTAATCTTCAAAATTTCCCACTTCCATAAATTTTACTAACCCTTTGAGAAAAACTATTTATCCCCAAATATACCCAAAAATCACCAAAAAAATTGCAAAACAGCCCAAAACGTAGATATGTGGGGTGAGCTTAGAGATTTTTGACTGCTTGAAACGTGAACGAGATATTTGCGTTAAAACCATAATACCCAACTAAAATGCAGTCTTAATTCATGTCACCCCCGCCTTATTTGGGTGATAATTTACCAGTTTCCCAGGAAAAAAGGGAAACAAATAAAACAAAGACCGAAAGATAACAAGCCAAAGATATACGAAGCGAAACAAAAGACAAAAAGATACAGCAACAGTAAAAACTGAACGTAAGGAGAGCGTTGACTTCCAAAGGAAGTGTCTTCTGAAGGGGAAAAAAATGTAAAAGGAAAATTAAAATAAGCCAGCATGCAAAAGTTAAGAATTCGGCCTAAAATTCAAACAAGAACAATTTATCACCACCACGCCATTTATTTCCACTTTTGTTTGCCCATTCAACCTTTTTTTTTCAACATAACATGCAAAAGCCCGAGAACCTCGA